GACCACTTTGTTTGCTTTCCAGTGGAGAGGACTTGCTCCAGTCTCTCAACATATCTTTTGTACTTGGCGACCAAAACTGGACTAGGTATTCCAGATGTGTCCTCCTAAAGGCCAAGTGGAGAGGAAAAATCGTATCTCAATCTGCTGGTTATGCTTGTATTAATGCAGCCTTATAGATGTCCAATGACTACCATCCATTTTAATCTCATCCTGGTGAGAATTGCTAAGGAATCATACTGAAATTACTTTAAAAACGAGCCTTTTAAAAGGCATATTGTGCCATGAATGCTTTATTAATATTGTGCATCCAACTAAATTAATACATGGAATAAGAAAGGAGGCCAGTGATGGCAAGTCAAAATTTGTCCAAGATGATGCAATAGCTAAGGGATTGCCTTGCTACTGTAGAGCATTAGGGGGTGCCAAGGGAAAGCAGGGGCTACATTGCACATTTAACCCCACTCTTTGCTACTGAAGTTGTCCAGAGATGCAGGTATATAAAGTAAACATATGCCATCTTACCAGATATACCACAAACGGTCCCACTCTGTACCTGAACAGCTGAGAAGAGGTTACAAGACATAGTTAGCCACAGAATAACAAATAAATGGGAAGATCCCTACTGTATCCCATTCCAGCTCCCCTCACACTCCTCACTTAGAGTCCAGCTTCTAAATAGCACAATGATGAGAAACTCACTGTGCTTTGTGGAGTAGACAGTTGTAAAACTCATCAATCTTCCTGTTAGATGAGTTTCCTTTCTGCTTGGCTTTCTCTCGTTATTGTTTTCTTGATATTTGTGCCTGCCCAATTCTGTTTGCAAGACTTAGGGATCTGCATTCACATTTATTTTGTCTTAATTTCTGTTATTCTTACAGCTGATATCACTGAGAGTAATATTCACCAAAGCAGTATATTTCAAACCAATTTTTCAAGGAAAGGTCAATTCCAAATTCATAATCTCCATCAATCAAAACACCAGAAAGCTCTTAATCATTACAATTATCCAAATAGGTAGCAGGAACAGTACCACGATCAGTATGTTGAATAGGTATCAATTAATACACTTCACATTCAAAGCAACGGAAATTTTATGTGAGTTTTCAATAGCTGCAATTAGAGTAACCTTTTCTGGAAAATGTCAGACACCACATCATAACACTGATGTCTGCTTCTGCCTTTGTCCTTCACTGTCTTCTTAACAGAGTGCAAGATCAACTAATACTCACAGTTCAGTGTTAAGACAGCCTTCCTCACCTCTCACCTGGGGGAACTAGAAAGAGAAAAAGAAACAAGACACAGCTAGAGTGAAAAAAGCCTTTGTCATATGGAACTTTTATCTTTGTCACCTGGACTATTAGCAGTCTGAATCTCTTACAGTTTACTGTTATCTATCTTCCGCTGTTTCCATTTGTAAGGATTTGTTCCATTTTCCGCTGTTTCCATTTTTCCATTTCCGCTGTAGATTTGAAGTAATTGTGATACCAACTGCATTGTTTCATATCTTAACTTCCCATAGCCATTAAAATTCTGCTTAGCAACGCTCCCAGGACAGACCCCGACTTGCCTTCACCCTGACCACAAGTTTCCCTTTCCCCACCATAAGCTATGTCATGCTACAGATGTAGATCTTTCTCCATGCTCCAATATTAAGAGCATTTAGACATCCTGCTTCATATTATACCCACACTGACTTAAATTCTGCTCTGTCTCTCCAGCACTCCTACTCATCTCATTCCTTTGCCTTGGGTACGCTGACCTCTGTGATACCATCCCTGGAAGAGCAGCAAATATTCTTCTCTTCTGTGTGTCTGCCTTTTATATGCCAGTTCCTTCTGATATCAGGGAAATTCTTGTGACTGTCAATAGCTAATGCCCCTCCACCTTTCCAAGCTACCTCCACAACTGAGCAGAGACCCATAAAAAGGAATCTGAGATGTGACTTACCCTTAAGAAACACCCTAAAACAAAGCAGATCATGACTGGGCTGTGCATCCCTGTAGGGTGGTTCTGTGGCCTCTTGCTGTCTCAAGCTGCTTGATGTCTTCTTGTCCTTTCTAGTTGCAGTTCATCCTCACCAGTCCACTGACCAGGAGAAGGAGCAGATTCCTTGTTGTGTGTTGAATCCAGTCTCTTCTTCCTGCTCTACCTCTTTCTGTCCTCCTCCGGGTCTGTCCTTCTCCTCTGCCTTTCAGGTTTTTGCTTTGTCTCATTCCCTCTTTGTCACTGACAACAACTGTTTGTTTCTGCTTGTCTCGTTTTGTTATTCTCTTGGCCTGCTTCTCTCCCTCATTTGAAGGGATCTCAAAAGCCTTCCAGTCAGATCAGGAGAAAAGCGGTGGCTACGAGTTCTTACTTTAGATGTTGAGCTAGTTCAGTAAAGGACATCATGAGATCTCTGCAGACCTGACCCTTCCCTTCTGTGAGCAGAAAGGGTCTCTGAGTTTGTTCATTCCCAATTATTCCTCTCCCCGCCCCTACCCTGAGGGGATCAGGTTGAAGGTCATGGTATTGACCTGTTTAAATGGAGTTTAGATTCCTCTCTCTCCTCCAGTACCTTTTCTGTCCCTGCAGTCACATTGTCCTACCTCTGTGGATCCAATCTATTGACTTTAGCTATATAATCAACATCCAGAGTATACGTTACAAGCGAGATGTTCCTGGTGAAGTGAAAGTGTTTGCAATATAATAATTATAAACAGCATTTTATATATATAATTATATGTATGTCTGTTTGTGGATATGTATATGAATGCAACATATATATACATTTATATGCATGCGTACACATGCAGATGCAACACCTATTGTAGCTCCCATTTTAAGGCTCTGCCACCATCCCTCTTACCTGGTAGTCTCCTGCTATGTCAGTCCCACAACTGACGGTCTGCTCACTCACAGGTCCCACTCTTGAACTTCTTGCATGACCAGCCAAGTCCCCCAGATACTTTGCATCACAGGAATACATGTTGATTCTCCTATCCTGGATGCTATTTGTCCTGCAGCTGGTAAAGTTAGTAGGTTCCATTCAACAACCCATTAATTTTGTCTCTTTTGTAGAACTGCTTTAGATTTCTGTTACTGCTCTTGGCTATTCAGTGTGTTATTACATGCGTATAATTGTGTTCACCTTCTCTTTCTCTTTTGAATAGCTGAGAGAGAAAAAAATGCTTGGCAATAATGTGTTACTATTTGTGTTTGGGAACCACCTGGGACTGGTGCATAAATATATGTTAAGGGCAGGACAGCAACTAGAGAAACTTGTTGCCCCATGTTGCAATCACAATGCATTCACATTAAACTAGTGAATCATTAACCTTGGTGATGCATATTAGAGTTGCAGAGCAGAACCAATGGATTCATGAACATAATGTATTCTCCCAAAGCAGGCTAAAACCAATTTACCATTCTCTAATTATAAAAATAAGGTGCAGTATAAGCATGCCTTAGCATGCACTTCTTTATCAATCGATTGATCGATTGATCTATCTATCTAACCAGTCTGCTACTGGAAAGTTTCTGAGTCATGGTGGACAAATAAGAAAGATAGAAACATGAGCTATTGGCTTGGTATTTACATGGGAATTGCCCAATATTCTTTTTGTCTCTTTCTCCTTAAATTCTTTTGTGTATTATAGGAGTTTTAGAAGAAAAGACCTAGCAGAACTGTGAAATAGCCTTTCTTGTTTAAAACTGTCGGGATTCAATGTGGAAAAGAAGTGCAAATTACCAATGTTTTTCAGGGGTGTTTCCTTATCAGTGTGATAATTCAATAGATTATCACTTGATTTTTAACTGAAATTCAGTCTCATGACAATTTCAAATTCTAGAAGGATCAAACTGGAGAAATATCAAATGAAGTGATAAAAAATTTCTCTACAGAAAAAACATCAATGTGACTTGAAACAGTGACCCCTCCAAAGGCATATCATAAGTCATTCTTGCTGAAACTTAGTAATCATTCTATTTCTATGGCATTGCCGTCAATATTGTGCATCCAGTAATCCACCTATGGCCCTGCTGCAGTAAGCTATCATTCAACAATGATATAAATTTCTCCACATTCTCCTGTTATTTTGCCTCAGTTATCTCAATATTTGATTTTTCTTTGTTTTATTGTATATTCAAGTGACTTTTCTCTTCCATATTTCCCCCTTGCCACCTTTCAAAATGTTTTAAAAATGTGATCAGATTCTTACAGAACTGCTAAAACAAAGATATTCCATCATTGGCTTTTTGCTGTTCTCTGCCATTGTTTAAAATCTAAGGGTCCGTTCCATAGTAAGCTATGTGATTTGAACATACCCTTCCCTGAGTGCCAGAGAAAGCAGACTGTGGTATGGACAGAAAATACTTCTCTCCTCTCTGCTTCCCTGTTCTGGTTGTATCAAGGGATGCATCTCAAGCCCGTTCTAACTTTTATTTCCTAGGTAGCATGATCTTACCTGGGAGTAAAGATTCTTAATGCGATGAAAAAATGCTGTTGTACAACTTAGAAGTTGCTGAGAAATTGCTGCTTGTTCCCTGCTACTCTTCAAAGGAGTATTCCACTAGAGCCAGCTTGATTAGTCACACCCAATACTTCCCCATGGGCATTTAGAAATGTAAAATATGGGAACACATTTGGGTCTCACAAGGACCCCTGATACTTTTACAGGTGTAGTAAGACATTATCAAAACTTTCATGTATTTTACACTGAATGATGATAATCCAAAAGGGCTCCATTGCTTGTAAAACAAAACCAGATCATTTTTAACAAAGCGCGCATAAAGCAGCGGGACACTTCCCTCCCATATTTCATGCTCTTTCCACTGAGGACATAAGGGTTGTTACTTCCCCTTGACAGAAAATGTGACAGGGGCTTCAAAAGCAGCAGCTCATCAGAAGCAGAGTAAGGCACTCCTGGAAATTAACATTTATTTGTCTATACGTTTCTGCCCAGATGCTGCTGTCTAAGTCACTGCGCTCAACCTTTCCGCGGTAAGACAGAAGTCTGGGAATGCCTCCTGCCCTCTACCCAGGGAGATTTGACCTCCAGCAGCCTGGGGTTGGCAAAGCCCCCGGTGAGACACGGTGCTGGGGGGGGTCGTGTTCTGTGCTACCTGGTGCTCGTCCTTGTTCCTGAGTTAACAACTGGCGAGACCAGTAGCTCCTGGGCTGCATGCCGTAGAGCCATAGGGAATAAAATGGAAAATTCGGATCTCATTCCTGTCGTTTTGCCAGCAGACCTCAAAACACCAGGGAATGTAGGACCAGTTAAGTTTCTCCTCCTTATTCCTAGTGCTCAGAGTTTGAGAGAGCATGGTGCAGGTGCTCAGGCTGACAGGTGACCCCTCCTTGGATGCAGCGGCAGCCCTTAGCTGCTGTGCTCTATTAATCACGCTTGCTAAAAGGCAGTGATTATCACGTGTGACTGCGCCTAGACTGCTGCCAGCCCAGAGCTGGTCCGGGAGCACAGCATCATGCTCTGGTACGTGAGCCTGGTACACAGACTCTCCTTTAGTTCAGCAGATTTCTTCAGCTCATTCCCTTTTACAGTGCAGGTGTACCTGGAACGGCAGCTGGGAAACCTGGATTCATTTCTTTGTGTCGTAGGAATGGGCAACGGCTGTGACAAGTCAATGCGCTACCCCGTCAGGGCAAGCGCGACGTGCTTACAGGCAAGAAGCAAAGGGGGTCAGTATGTTTCTCACTCCATTTTACCTCCAGTCCTCCTGTGCCACTTGAGAGATCGAGGAGTCCTTCTGGATGAATTTACTGAATATTAATCACTGTATAATAAAGCCAGGACGCACCCCCCCACACACCCCGAAAATCTTCAGGGAATTGTTTAGACAATCCAAAATTAATGTAATTTCCTCTTCACCCCTCCCCTTCCTTTTCCTTTTTTTCTACAGAAAGAATGTACCCCTAAATTGGATAATTCTATGCATCTGTTGCAGGAACTGAGAGATTTCTGTGCCCCCCATTGTATTTCTGCATACAAAGAAGATTTAAATACTATTCTGGGACTCTGCTGCATGTAAACAACCCCCAGTATCACTGTGTCATGAAATCCTTTAGTATGAGCCAAAAAACCCTTCTGACTTTTGCATGAATCACTCTGTTAGCTCCCCATGACACTGACCGTTCATTTGATCCCAGCCAGAACCTTATCCCTGTTTCTCCTGTGGCATCAACTAAACTTTTTAATTCTCCTGTAACCTTGCCAGAAATGACAGGTGAAGAAGTGACATACGCAGACCTGAGATTCATGACACTGGAAAAATCCCAGGACCAGGAGCTCCAGACTGCCAGAGCAAAAGGTAGTGGTTGTGTTGGGGAGCTGTTCTCTCCAAGGCAAACTCTCACCTTGGAGAACATTTTTTATGCGGCACTCAGAGGAGGATGTCACCTACCAAAATGCAGCTGGCTTCTGGGAGCCCTTTGGACTCAAATCTTCTAAGAAATTGTTGGGAGAAAAGAAAAAAGGTGGGAGATTAAAAAGAATGGAAGGGTGGAGAATGTGGAAAAACTATTGCAATTTGAGAGGAGAGATATAATAAAGGTTGTGGGATGCAGTTAAGTAAAAATAAACATGTTCCAGTTAGACATTAAGTGTCAGCTCCTGGAAGTTAGTGAAGTAATCTGCCTAAGGAACCTTGCAAAAGTCTTTCAGCTTTACTTATTTAAATATTTAAGTGAAGGAAGTAAATGTACTTAAAAATCATAAAAAATATGCTACATAGCTTCACAGAGGAAGGGAAGAATGTGATTGATCCCAAATCTATATTCTTTATGCTATGCATTAATGCTTTAGAATCACTCTGTATGAAAGGTAGTAACAAAGCAAAGAGTTGTTATGTTCCAGCCTGACTAAAGATCTGGAGATGAATTTGATAAATTTGATAATAATCTAGTAGATTAAAGAGCTCTTTCTGAAGGAAATTGGCTAGCCAGTGATTATCTCATTCTCACTTTTTGAGGGGTCCTTGAGTTTTATACTTGGGAACTGAACTCCCAGTAATCTAGTAGGGTTCTTCTCAACTGTTTGGTTAAAGGGTTAGGGAACACAGGGAACAAAAGGCACCAATACCACGGGTTGTTATGCCAGTTATTTCTGTTGGTGACTCCAACATAGTATTAATATTCCCACTGGAATTTCATACTGGAGTCTACTAAAAGAACACAAAAGTTGTAAATTGGAAACAATCCTTTCCTCTGTGTTTTGGGACTGTGTAAATTCACAGGGGTGTTTGTACTTGCCCACATTGCACGAATGGGTGTGTGCATTTCCAGTTGTGAGGCTGTTTCTGTGCAACTGCAGGTATGTGGGCTTGTTCACATCTGTACGCCCTAATTTCAGATTATTTTGCAGGGGCCTGGCGTTCATTGGTGACTGTTTCTGAGGTTATTTTCTGAAAAGGTGAATTCGTTCCCTATTTGGCAGGTTAGGTGCTCAAAAGTAAAAACATCCCAATACATATGAAAATTTCAGCCATGTTGTTAGCACAAATACTTCCTTGGTGTTCTTTCCCCCCATGTGAAATTCTGTGCTGTTCAGCTCTATTTGTCCAATTACTTTTCTCTTAAAAGCCCCTGGCTAAGCTAGTCTTCATGGCTTGCTTACTTCCCAGCCCCCAACTCCTAAGGAGGACTGGTCACGGCCAAACAACGGGACAGTTTTCATAATGTAATACCACACACTGGTCTGAAACTCAACAATTCACTGGGCAGACCACCGGTCATGTTGTCTTGTGCAATGTAGGAGCTGCAGATACGAAGATGAGCGATTCCTGTTCTTGCTGCTTTCCTTCTTTTTGTCTGTCCCAGATTCCCCCAGCCCGTCTTCCTGTTGGCGACTGGCTACAGTGGCACTCGGCATCTTCTGCCTGAGTTCAGTGGCAGCTGCAGGAGTCTTGGCTGCCAGGTGTAAGTATGGTCATAGAAGAGGTGCTCAGAGTTCAGTATGAACAATTAAAAATCTAGGAAGTTAGTTAAGAAAAAGGATTAGCTGAGGGGATTAATGTTGCAAAAAAATGTCCCTTGCTGGAAGAGTTTACCCACTCAAGAGGTCTCCCAGTCTTTGAAATTGAGACGTATTACGCCTTGCTCACAGGTGTGAACAAACGTATGTAGGTCAAGTACATTCAGTCACAGGGAAGTACGTGTGTCTTTGGTAAGTTTATTCAGGTTGCACTGAGCGGTTTAGCTTTAACATTAATGGAACAATTTCATTTTTGTTTCATTGTGATTCAAGTCATCCTGGTCTGCCACCTTGTGCATGAAAGGGATGAAAACTTCACCCTGCAAAAGGCAATTATGGAAAGACTCAACCAGCAGCTGGAGCTCCTCCAGGCTCAGAATTTGAACTTGACAGAGACTGTAAAGCAACTTGCCACCTCCAGAGGTACATAGTGGTGAGAAGATGGTGGTTCCATCGCATTATGGTAGCCACAGATTGATTTTTTTCTATCAAGCATATTGGAAAGAAAAATAAAACCCCCTCAATTATTTCATTTAAAAAACAACTTCAACTGAGTCAATCAAAAAGCTGCCTTTCCATTTTGATAATTTTTTAAGTATCAGTCTTTTTGAAGTATTTTTATTGAATTTTTGTAATGGAGCTATTTTATAACCTAAACCAAACACTTTAATTCAGAAAATGTCATGATGATGACACCTTTTTTTTTTTTTAAAAAAAAGTGTTTCTAATACGTAAATTAATTGATGCTACCATTCCCTCTTTCACAGTTCCAGTGAATTATAGTAAAAAAATTTGTATGGAAAATTCCTACTGGCTTTAATTGTCTGGAATGCTTTGACTTGTCAACACAGCTTCATTCTGTTATGCAGTAGTGGATGCAGCAGTGGAAAAAATGCTGCTCTCTACCAAATGGGATTGTAATCACTGGTTTTCACAGTTGACAAACTATATGCTGAGGCATTTTTTTTCTTGTGTGAAATAGTGGTGTGAAACTTTAATGATAGGTGAGCTGAATGTGCTAGATTATCATAGAGCAAAGGGAAGAAAATCATAATAATTTAATGTCATGTGAGAGAGGGGCAAGTTTATTATCTTTGTAAATATCTACATTTGAATTTAACACAAACCAGAAGCTACTTCTAAAAGTCAAGTGCACTGTGCTGAGCTATCTATTGCCATCCAGCATCAAGTCCTGGCATTCCCAGCTGGCACTGGTTTGTTACAATATAGAATCATAGAATCATTAAGGTTGGAAAAGACCTTTAAGATCATCAAGTCCAACCGTCATATAAAAAGGTCATGTGAACTATAGAGCAATTAATACGATTTGACCAATAGTTAGGATGCAGTTCCCAGAAATATCTAAAATATTTTCTGTCAGGTCTTTTTGCTGCTTGTGGTTGTTTCAGTTTACAGCTAGAAATGGAGTTCCCCAAATGGTGCAAAAATGAAAGAAAAATCCAACATTTTGGGTTCTTTCTGGCTTCAGAAAGAGCAGTTAACTCTGCATGGTACTGTGGGCTGAACAACCACTCCGTCCTTCCACTGGTGCAGCATGCTATGGCATGCGTGTGCTGGACCAAGTGGCAAAAACTGTCCATGCCCCTTTGGATCCCCTCTACCCAGACTGTGGCTGTACCATCCCTGCCGCACCTCTGCTGACCTCAGGGGAGTTAACTGAGTTAACTGACTGAGGGTCCCAACAGGCAGCTAACAGAATAACGCGGCAGACAAGAGTCAAAGTGCAGCTGTCAGCAAGGTGTTTTCTTTAACAGCAATGGGGTCATTATCTTTCACTTTGGCTGGCCATCACTAGCTGACATCTGTGCACTGAATTCACAGCAAGTATGAAATGCTACCAGAAAAGTTGAAGTATAAATTGTGTTGTAAACCATATAGCGGGGAAGAGCTAGCCCTGATGTTAACAAGAAGTTGAAACTAAGTTCACAGGAATAGAGATGTGCCCATATGACTGAAAGTCCAGGTTTCCTTTCACGTCCACCTAGATGCATGTCTCTGTGAACATCGCTCAACCTTCCAAAATTTCCTCTCTTTGTGTTTTACTAGCACCCGCCAGCTTCGCTGGTCAGATTAAAAAAAACTCTATTATTTGTTTTTCTGTTTTTCATGTAGAAATGTTTTTTTGGATCTTCTGTTAACTGTGTTTATTAAGCCTCCAATGAAGACATGAAGGAGGAATTGTTGCTCCTCTGGGTGGCTGTGCACTGCTGTAGTGATCCTGCAGGGATCCACTGGATCACTAGAGACTGCCATCACTGACAAATCTGATCAGGTGCTGTTTTGTTTTCAAGGACATAAATGTATTCCTTGTCCTGAGAACTGGCTACAGTATGGGGAGAACTGCTACCACTTTTCAAAGGAATGGAAAACTTGGCAAGAAAGCAAGGCTCAGTGCTCTTCTCTGGAGTCCAGACTTCTTAAGATAGAGAGTAAGGATGAGCTGGTAAAGAATATTTTTTTTCTCTCTCTCTAAATTAGAGACTCTGCATGTTACTGTGGGCTGAACAACCACTCCGTCCTTCCACTGGTGCAGCATGCTATGGCATGCGTGTGCTGGACCAAGTGGCAAAAACTCTCCATGCCCCTTTGGATCCCCTCTACCCGGACTGTGGCTGTACCATCCCTGTCGCACCTCTGCTGACCTCAGGGGAGTTAACTGAGACACATCAGCTTGGGTCTACATCTAGATCCTCATCCCACCTCAGGGCAAATATAACTGACCTAGTACTGATTGGCAGCTCTTTTGTTGTCTTGCTGGAGCAAATTATTTAGCAATCATCAGAAGACTGGCCTTCAGCTTCTTGCTGTCCAAAACTAGAAATCTTGCTGTCCTGGCTTGCTCCCTGGCCTCTTCTCTCACATGAGCAGAAGAGGGTCCATATCTTTTCCTGACTCGTAAGTTGTAGATGTAGCAGCAGATAAAGCACAGACAGAAGAGCTCTTCCCCTGTGAAGGAATTTCTACCCAGACCCTTAACGGCAGTGGGATTATATCTTGAACACTGTGGTTTTATTGTCCATATTTTGCATTTCCTGTGTACAATGATAGCAAACGATGCAAAGCCTTTTCCTGCCTGACTTATGCAACCAGAGTGTTGGAAGGAAGTCATTATCCTGTACCCTTTACCCAGCTAACATGTAGGCTTTGGTTATCTCAATTGTCGATTTAGCTGAGAGCTTCTCAGCAGGTTCATTTTCCGTATCTCCAAAGGAGCACTGACTGCCAGGAGTAGGAGGCACTGCCCAGATTCACTTGCGAAGCGAAGCCTGTTATGCACAGGCGTGAGCAGCACTTTCGTTTGCCTGTCTCCTTTTCCAAGCCATAGGCTGTTACGAGTGAAGCAGGGATGTGATTCACAGGCTTTGCATTTATTTCCGTACAGGACTTTGTAACGCGATCAGCGGAGTCTTACAGTTCTTACTCTTTCTGGACTGGGCTGTCTCGCAATGGAGCTGAGGGGCCCTGGCTGTGGGAAGATGGATCAGCTTTTTCCCCTGATCTGTAAGTCACTGCACAGGTAGGAGCAGACCACATCCATGCACGTTTGTTATAAGCCAGAAGCAGCAGCCTTTAACCGCCACTTAGTAATTGCCTGTCCTGCTGCCTGTTTGCCAGAAGACAGTTCACCCATCACTCTCTTTCTTATCAACCTAGGCAAGCCCCCATCAGAGACCTCGTATGCTACTGTGCGTCAAATGGGTAGCAGTGGTTGGGAATTATTGTATCAGCCTGTGACTTTTTCCATGGGATGATGACTATCTCTGCTATTTTTTCGCAGGTTTCAGATTCAGCGAGCCAGCTCAAGCCCTCTCCTAGATTGTGTGTGGCTTCAAGGTGCAAACATAGACACTGCACGGTGTGGCGAGTACAAATTTTACATTTGTGAGAAGGCGGTGGATCCTGCCATGGCCAAGCAAGGGATCTATTTGGACGGGCACTAGTGTGCAGAGCTCTGCAGAGAGCCCTGTCCTGGCATACGCCATTGTGGGGGCGAGTTCTGCCCCAGGATTTGTGATAGGGAAGATGAGTCTGAGCTCAGGTTAATGTAACATCAGGGCTAATCTAAGCTTAATTTGCCCTCTGGTGGTACACATCAGCCAGACTCCTTCTTGGGCTTTTTTAAAAACAATGTAATTCCTTCTTTCTTCTTTCAGCCCTTGTATTCTTGTGCAACCACTTCTACCCACTTCTCATACATTCCTTGATAAATGAAACAAGATTAACCATATGATTCCAGAACTCTATTTTAAAGATTCATACTGATCTCACAGAAACAGGAATCAATGACCGTTTGTAAGAGCAACACGTCATGTTTTCAAAATCTGTCCATTGGGTATTCATAGATGTGAGCTCCCAGTTTACAATAAATTTCCAAATATTTGATTTAATTTCACGCCTCACCTGCTGATAACTAGACAGTGCAACAGAATCAGAGCCTGCATTAAAAGACAAATAAAAATATTTCTAGTTCTCCTGGTTAGAGGGAAAAGCTTTCAAATGGGATTGCATGCCCTGTGGGCTCAAAAAACAGAAGACAAATACACAACACGTCTTAATTGAGCGAAGTCAGCAATATTTAACGCCCAGGAATACTCAGGAATGACAGTCCAGCTGCTAGTGGATTGCAGCAGGCATTGGGCTTTAAGGGGGAAAGTGCATTCTTCTAAGACATCTGTCTTGATAATTATTCATGCCACATCTGATCCAGTTCTTTGATTTCTCAAATCCATTTTCCATTCTATCGCAGAATTTCAGAACTGGAATAAATATTGCTGCTACTGACCTTTTCGGTAGTGTGTCTTTTTAGGAAGTCACTGTGCACAGTAGGCTCAACAACCATCAAATATAGGGCCTTTAATGATGCAAAGCCTCCTGCCTCTTTGCTGCTGTTTAGGAGGCTGTTCATAGAGAAGACTGTATCAGAGAGAGCATCTCTCTTCTATGGCACTAGCAAAGAATAGAGGACTTTAAAATCCGTGAGGAGCAGTCAAGTTTATGGTTGGGACTTTGGTTCCTGTGTGTATTTTGTACTAATTTGAGCTATTCAGTGAAAATTGAACTGTAAGTCAGGGAAGGTGAAGGTATTTAGACAAGCCTCTAATTATATTTATGACAGACGTAAAGCTATGCATCAGAAGTGTGTGGTAGCAAGAGCCAACAAGTGTGCTGCACCCCTCACTGAATGAGTGTTTAGCAATATGGCAATTATCTTAATTATGGATATGAAGATGTAATTTAGAGGAGCAGGGACAACAGAGAGTGCCTTGCTACACAGCTATCTCATAGTCTGAAAATGCTGCATTTTCTAAGTCTAAGTACGGGGCCTCAACAGCTGTGGAGATACTAGCTGGGATCCCAGCACTGACTGGTCTACAGGGGATGCAGGTACAACGTGAATGATGGGAGGAGTGACCCACACAGGGCTGTTGTTCTAACGCATGCAGGGCATGGTGGGAGACTCCATCTTATAACCCTTGATAATACAAGAGGGTGTTAAAGATCATATCATAAGGAAGCAGGAGAGCCCTCACTGAGGGGACTGGGGCTGGTATGAGGAGGAGCCAGTGAAGGGCTGATGTAGTGAGAGAAACTGATGTGAGGCAACTGGCGTGATGGTCTTGAGGTCTGCGGACCAGTGAGGTGAGCAATGGTTGGTTGTAGGGGCTATGGTATCATGGTTGTATTGTATATTTATGGTTGTATGATTGTATTATGGACTATTGCTGGGAGCAAAATGGTGCATAAAATGAAGGAAGGTAATGTTGAATGAAAGTCTGCCATTCTGTACTGTGCTTGGGAGGAGAATCTATTAGACTGTCTTGTCTCCCTGTCTGAGGCACAAAGCGCTGGTCCCTGTGTCTGGCTGTTGAATAGTCACAGTCTCAGGAACTTATAAAACAAGGGGTAAACTCTTGGTCCTCATTCCTGTCTGGACTTTTTAATTTTATACCACATCTTCATGCCTCAGAGACTCGTAATTAGAACCGCTACATGATGAGCCAAGTTGCACGAGGCATCCAGTAATTGCCCTGAGGTGTGCAGTGTACAACCTGTTACTGTGTGTGAGTAATACCTGACCCTGAGTTTCCTTGATATGTAGCGTAAATCAGTTTTTGAATTTTTGCTTAAACCAGGAGAGAAAAATCTACCCTTATACACAAGATGATCACTAAGTCACAGTACAATAATTATTTTGTACAGATGCCAAATCCTTCGTTATCTAGGTTATAATGTTCAGAACTTTAAATCAATTCAGAACTAAGCAATTTCATGCACGTACCTTCTGCACTTTCCCCTTTCCCATAGCCACCTGCACCCATCGGACCACCTTCTAAATCACTCTGTGCATTCTTCATGCAATTCTTCTTAACTCCCTTTGAAACGTCCTCTTCAGAAGTATTTCTCAGACTGCCCAGTGTCCATTAAACTAGTTGGCTCACAGGAGTCTGTTTTGTGCTGCTGAGTGAAGGGAATATTCTCAGTAGGCAATGAGTTAGATCAGTCTTTCCACTGTTAGAATAGTCTTTCCACTTAGATCTGCAAGTCATACTAACCACTGCATTTTGCACAGCTACCTGTGAAGTCTGGTCCTTCAAAATTACTGGAACTTCAATTTAATTTGGCTTAAGCGTGATTTCAACTCTGCTTTCATTCAGCTGCAGCAAGAACTTAAAACTGACAAAGTTCAAAAGGCAGCATGCAATCATATCTTTAATTTAATGAACTGAATCATTTCAAGTCATACAATGCACATAGGCAAATCTTTAGGTTTTGTTGCACACTGAAAAAAACAAAGGGTGAAAAATGGTTTTTGATAGCCACCACTAAAATAGTAATTACTCGCTGTCTGTTGTTGCCTTAAGGTTTTGTTAGCACAACCAGGGCCTCTAATTGTTCTGTATTCTTGATGTTATGTTGTTCAAACCTCTTAAGTCTATAATTAGCCTTTTCTGTCCAATACAACGTCTGCTCAAATCAGGATATAAGCATTGTACCCATGCCACGTTATTACAAAACGAATCTTCAGATCACAAGCCACCGTGAGTTCTTCTTGGCAAATAATTTCCTTACTGTCCCCAACATGAATATTTGTCTCAATAGATCTACCAACTCATGAGTGTTATTCTTCATAGTACCTATGTGTTCTAAAGACAAATTGTTCTGTCAGTTTTCTTACATTGTTTTCAGTTGCTTCATGTTGACATGCAGCTGCACAAGTATCTAATTTCTTGGCAAAGCTCAGAGATGCTACCTTAAACGGGGTGTCACAGCTTTACTTTTTAATGAGTTTTCTTCTCTGTGTTGTCGTGCTCTTTACCCTTGGTGGCAGACAGTCAGTAAGCCACCTGCGTCATAAAAACTTAAACAAATCCAAGTGGGGAAAAATGTTCTTGCAGCAAGATCCCAGTACTCATAATTAGCAGAGAAAATAGATGTGTCTCTGGTTTCATGTGGAGACAGAAGCTGCTGTCTTTAAACAGCAGCCTTGCAAAATACACTGTTGTTTTTCAAGTTGCACAGTCAGATGATATATGGAAAATGCTGCTAAATCACCTCTGCTAAGGACTGCTGAGAGAACAAGGAAGCAAGGAGAGAAGCACAGTAATTTGTTGAATATATCACAGTAAATATAGCTATGTATTGGTTAAGTGAAATGTTTAGTTTTTCTCAGATTTTAAGTTCTGTTTAAAATGAGTGTTCATATCCTAGACCTAAAATCAAAGTCAGAGCCATGAGAGATGGTCAAGAGAGTTTTTTTCTGTGCACTTGGAATTCTGCACACAGAGTCATGATTTTGGGAATATCCATTTGAACATATACATTCAATCTTGTTTAGTCTAATATTTTGCCCTCTCTCTAATCTTTGATTCTCTTTCCACCACCATCTCATTCCTAACCCTCTTGGATAAAAGAACTATTTTTAATGCTAAAAAAAGAAGTAAAAAAGGAAACATTACTCATCCTCCAGCTCTCTGGTTAGAGTCATGTGGGGATTTCTCCTATTGCAAAATTGAGATTCCCATCCTATAAATTTAGCAAAAAGAAGATTGTGATTTTACATTTGAAAACCAAAATGCAGAGCTTGTCTAAATGCTTCCAGAGAAGTCTATTTCTATTTTCATTTCAGAAATTCAGAGCCAGTAGTTTGCAATCACACATATGTCTGCTATCCTCCCTGCTCCCCACCATTCTGGAGGTCTACCAGGAAACTGAACAGGAAGAATGCTCATGCCTTCTGTAGAAGGGTTGTCCTTTTGTTCTGATTTGAAACAAAAATATTCAGAGTTGTGAAATATTCTTTGGCAGAGAAAGACCACATAAATATGATTAAGCCATCAGCAGCAAAGCCAGTATTTTCTCCCTATTCAGTGTTTCCTGTATTTTATTCCTTTCTCATTCTTTAGCTTCATTGGGCTTTTTTCAGAAGAACATAGCTAATAACAGTGGGCACCTGAAACAAACAAACAGACTCAAGTGACATATGGAATTGGAGCACTCAGTTGGAACACACTTAAATGCACAGGTGGCCTTTGTGGGTAAAACATTTCCTGGAGATGGACAGTCAAATAACCATGCTGAAGTCATATTTGCTGCTATTTATAATGTCAAACTAAGTTAAAAGCTTGTCATAGCAGAAATTATGGTGGAGATACTTAATAAGAACTGTGTAGCTAGAAAGCAGTATTTTGTAGCAGAAAGTGAATAAATAATTAACATCAACTTGCCCATGTTATAATGGCAAAAGTCTTATGCACTTAAAACATCTGCATTTTGAAGCATAGTGTTACAACCCAAGGAAAGGGAACAGTTCCTTCTGTTGTATAGGTAAGACTGTATTATGAATATCACACATTTATAGACAAAGATGTGTCGTTGTTAAATGTGGTGCTTCCAGTCGCATCCCTATGCAAAATGCATATAGGAATAAGCATCAAATTTC